TTGATACTTGTGGCATTTTTTCAGCTATTAGTACTTTATAGCAGGAAAGCTAATAAAACCTAATAAACAATGTAATTATGAATAACTTGATGAAAATTTCTGTCTTAAAGAACACTGTCACTTTACTGCAAATGTGTGAAATTCAAGGATATGAAGCGTACTGGGTTTTGTTGGGAATTATCTTTCTTCATAGCAGCCATGCTGTTTCAATTTGTGACCAAGACTGTTGATAACACCAGTGTTTTGATTATTGCTGAACAGCACAACAGTACTTAGCTGAAGTTCTCTGTTTCTTGCTCTGTGTGCCTGCCCCACCCCCCCAAGCAAGCAGACTGGGGGTGGGCAAGAACTTGGGAGGGAATACAACCTGCATGGCTGACCGAAACTGGCCAAAGGGATATTCCATACCATATGACATAATATTCAGAGAGGGGAAAAAAAAAAAAAAAAAAAAGAGGTAGTTTTTCCAAAGTAGCTGTTGCTCAGAGATGGGCTAAGCATCAGTCTGCTTCTGGGAGGTGGCGAGTGATTGCCTTTGCATCACTTGGTTTTGTTGGTTTTTTTTTTCTGTGGGTGTTTTTTTTCTTTATTAAATTGACTTTATCTCAACTCATGCATTTTTCTTGCTTTTGCTCTTCCCATTCTCTTCCCTCATCCTCCTGGGGTGGGGGGAAAGTGAGCAAGCAATGGGTGGGTGCTTAGTTGCTGGCCAGGGTCAATCTAACATACAAACCTGTAGAATCTATGGTAATAGCAACATAGTTGCACCTACTAACTGCAGACCTACAGCACTGTAATTCCATTATGGTGCTCACAGAATAGCGTGATAATGCAGAGTTACAAGTGTTGTATTTAAGGCACACTAGCCATGCACCTTCTAGAGATGTATTATTGTTGTCCAAAAAGCAGATTTGTTAACCAGTGTGCAATAGCCAATTTCACACACCAGGAGAGACATTGATTATTTATTTCAGAGTTGCACAAGGCTGGATGCTTAGTGGCTTTCTACAAGTCAAGCACACCAGAAATCATCACCACGGTATCTTTTATACACATGAATTACATAATCATACACTCCCAGTTGCAATGATTGGTTAGCTATTAGCATATAATTATAATATTTGCTTAATCATTCCCCACACTACTATGCCTGCACAGAGGAAGGGTCCTCACCTGGGCGAGGGTCTTCCTGACCTATGGGCGGGTATTTTAGTATTATAATGAAGGTAGTTCAGCTAGGGACACCTAAACTACTGCTTTCTTTGCCAAGTTGGCCATATCTTTGATCTGGACTCTGATATTCCAGGAAGTGTAGCAGAAACACTTAAGATCAGTTTCTTTGATTTTCATCTTTTGGCTTTTAACTTAGCAATTGTTTATTGTTTTCCAAACTAGCTCAGCCTGCAAAAGCCATGGTTAATTTTAACTCAGCAATAAGTACCCAATAATTGATATCATTATCACAGAACAGTTGAAGTTTTGAGGTTGGAAGGGACCGCTGGAGGTCATCTGGTCCAACCCCCATGCTCAAACAAGGTCACCTAGAGCCAGTGGCCCAAGACCATGTCCAGATGGCTTTTGAATAGCACCAAGGAGGGGGACTCCACAAGCTCTCTGGGCAACCTGTTCCAATGTCTGATCACCCTCACAGTCAGGAAAAATTAAAAAAAAAAGGTTTCCTGATGTTCAGAGGGAACCTCCTATGTTTCAATTTGTGCCTACTTCTTCCCGTCCTGTCACTGGGCGCCACTGAAAAGAGCCTGGCTCTGTCCTTTTTGCACCCTCTCTTCGGGTATTTATATACATTAGATTCCCCCCTAAGCCTTCTCTTCTCCATCCCAGCTCTCTCAGCTTTTCCTCATAGGAGAGATGCTCCAGTCCCTTCATCATCTTAGTGGCCCTTTGTTGGACTCTCTCCAATAGTGCCATCAGTCTCTTGCACTGGGGACCCCAGAACTGGACACAGCAATCCAGGTGTGGCCTCACCAGTGCTGAGTAGAGAAGGATCACCTACCTCACCCTACTGGCAATACTTTGCCTAAGGTAGCCCAGGATACCATTAGCCTTCTTTGCTCACATTGGGCACATTGCTGGCTCGCGTTCAATTTTGTGTCCACCAGGACCCCCAGGGCCTTTTCTGCCAAGCTGCTTTCCAGCTGGTCATTCCCCCCAGCATGTATTGGTGCCTGGGGTTATTCCTCCCCAGGTACAGGAGTTGGCACTTCCCCTTGATGAACTTCATGAGGTTCCTGTCAGCCCATTTCTCCAGCCTGTTAAGGTCCCTCTGGATGGCAACACCACCCTCTGGACTATCAGCCACTCCTCCCAGTTTTGTAGCATCAGCAAACACCTTTCTGAGTATATACTCAGGTGAGGCACTGGAACAGGTTGCCCAGAGAAGTTGTGGATGCCCCACCCCTGGAAGTGTTCATGGCTAGGTTGGATGGAGCTTTGAGTAACCTGGTCTAGTGGGAGGTGTCCCTGCCCATGGCATGGGGGTTGGTACTAGATGCTCTTTAAGGTCTTTAAGCACCAGCCTCTGGTGTATCAGCCATTTCTCCGAATTTGGTGTTGTCTACAAACTTGCTGATGGTATACTCTGCCCTATCATCCAGATCATTAATGAACATGTTGAACAGAATCGGACCCATTATCAACCCTGGGGTACACTGCTAGTTACTGGCCTCCGACTAGGCTTTGCACTGCTGATCACCACCCTCTGGGCCCAGCCATTCAGACAGTTTTCAACCCACCTTACTGTCTGCTCGTCCAGCCCCTATATCAACAGCTTGTCCATGAGATCTTATGGGAGAGTGTCAAAGGCCTCCCTGAAGTCCAGGTAGACAATATCCACTGCTCTCCCCTCATCTATCAGACCAGTCATTTCATCATAGAAGTTTATCAAGTTGGTCGAGCATGACTGATTATTTCCTGTCCTTCATGTGCCTGGAAATGGTTCCTAGGATTAGCTGCTTCATCACCTTCTCAGGGATCAAGGTGAGGCTGACTGGCCTGTAGTTCCCTGGGCCCTCCTTCTTGCCCTTCTCGAAGAGAGGAGTGACATTTGCTTCCATCTAGTCCTTGGGCACCTCTCCCAGTTGCCATGATCTTTGAAAGGTTATTGAGAATAGCCTTGCAATGACATCAGCCAGCTCCCTCAGCACTCGTGGGTGCATCCCATCTGGGCCCATGGACTTGTGTATGTCCAGTTTGCTTAAGTGTTCCCTGACCTGAACCTCTTCCACCAACGGTACATCTTCCTTGCTCCAGACTTTACCCCCTGGTCTCTGGGACTTGGGATTCCTGAAGGCTGGTCTTGTTAGTAAAAACTGAGGCTAAGGCAGCATTCCGTGCTTCAGCCTTTTCCATGTCCTTTGTCACCAGGTCCCCCATCTCATTCAGCAGCATGCCCATATTTTCCCTAGTCTTCCTTTTGCTGCTTATGTACTTGCAGAAGCCCTCCCTGTTGTCTTTGACATCCCTGCACAGATTCAATTCTATTTGGGCTTTAGCTTTCCTAACCTCATCTCTGGATGCTCAGACAATGTTTCTGTATTCCTCTCAGGTTACCTGTCCTTGCTTCCACCCTCTGTAGGCTTCCTTTTTATATTTGAGTTTGTCCAGGCTCTCCTTGTTCATCCATGCAGGCCTCCTGGCATTTTTGTCTGACTTCCTGTTTGTTAGGATGGAACTCTTTTGAGCTTGGAGGAGGTGCCATTCCTTGGCATCAACTATAAACAGTCAGGTCTTATCACTCTGGAAGCAGACACTGTCTGAAAAATATGCCATTAATTTCAGAGAGTTCAGTTAGTTAGAAGAGGCTTAACTGAAAAGTAAAATTACTGAAAAGAAAATTGATTCTGTTTTACCTCAATCCAGGACATTATGTGAGAGAGAGACAGAAAGACTGACAGAATGAACTAACTGGGACAAACCAAACATTAAAAAGTAATGTAGTGTTTAGTGTATGCCTGCATATTTGGAGGAGTTGTTGGAAAGAAGAAAGAAGAGTTGCTAGAAGGAAAGATGTCTTTTACAACTGGTATGGAGAGGTGGGGCTAATAAGCGTCAAGGTTTTACTCAGGTTGTCTGTAATCCATCTCTTAAACCTCTAGCTCTTCTTTCAAAGCAGAGGGGCAAGAAACAGAAACTGTTGTGCAGATGTGTGCTGGTTAATTGAAATTAAAACAAGTGGAGTTGCTAGTAAGTACATTTTAAGGAAAATTGTCATGTTTGAAAATATCTTCTAATGTGCTTTGGAGTACTCTGAATCTTATATCGGAGTGCCTGAATAATAGACTAAGTAGTCTTGATTTAGTCAGTCAAGGATGAAAGTGATGATTAGAAGCCCTATTTCCTGTGCAAAATACCTTTTGACCTTTTCAAGACCTTTTCAAGACCTTTTCAAGAAGTTACAGTTTCCTCCCTTCTGAAACCGGAAAGGAAGAAGCATCTCTGTTTCTAATATTTATATGCAACTCTTCATTTTACTTTTTATTTTGGAAAAAGTCACTGGACACCTCAGACTCAGTCTGCCAAATAGCCTAACTATTTCCAGAGGATCAGAGGACCTACTGCTTTTATCCTGGCTTATTCAATAAGTATAAAGGTTTAAAAGGCCAGTTGTAATCTTAAAAGAACAAGTAATTGGTTTATGCTTCTTGTTTCTATGTTGGAAGTCACCCTTCAAAGGGTATGTTTTGGGGTATTTTTCAGTCTAGTTTTGTTTCTTCATGGGCACATTCTCTAGTAGCAGTGGATTGGAAGTGTCAAATCTCCCAGTTCCTAGGACAAATGGATATAGGAACTGTAACCAGTAATTTGACTAGTTGTTCTGGTAATGCATCTCTTGTCTCACTGGTTGTTGTATTGATGTTTGTGACTAAACATATCAGTGATTTTACAGTACTCTAACACAGCTAATCCTGCCAACTCTTCCAGTAAGAGAAATTTTTTTTTCCATGATCACTAACTTCTTTTTTTCTCTTCCCCACCCCCAGATAACTATTATCTTTAAATCATACCAAGACTGTACAGATCAGAAAGTATATCAAGCAGTGACTGATGACTTACCTGCAGCTTTTGTGGATGGCACAACAAGTGGAAGCAATGGGAACACCAAGAGCTTGCGAATTGTGGAAAAAGTTGGTGGCAAATATGTTGAAATGCATGCCAGGTACATCGGAACCACAGTGTATATACGCCAACTTGGACACTACTTAACGCTGGCCATTCGCATGCCTCAAGAGTTGGCTATGGCCTACGAGGAGAGCCAGGATCTGCAGCTGTGTGTGAATGGTTGCCCTTCAAGTGAACGTATTGATGATAGCGGCCACTTGCCGTTGTCTGTGATGGGGCAGTTACCCCCCCAAGCAAGTCCTACTCATCCCTGGTCAGTGTACACACTGGAAACTGCCACCACCAAATGCCATGAGAAGATACTGGTGAAGGACATCTATTTTTACTCATGTGTGTTTGACCTACTCACAACCGGTGATGTTAACTTCACAGCTGCTGCTCACAGTGCCTTGAAGGATGTGGAGGCATTGCACCCCAGAAAAGAGCACTGGCATATCTTTCCCAGCAATGAAAGTGGTGGTGGTGATAGTGTGGGCACGGGTAGCAAATTTTTTGTCAGTCCTGGACTTGTGTGCTTGATCCTTGCTGTGTTTTTGTAGGGGGGGGTGGTGGTGGGGTGTGTGTCTATAACAAAGGTTTAAAATGTATATTGTCATAATATATTGAGTAAAGAGGAGTATATATGTATATACCATGTATATGAAGGGATGCTTTGTCTTCGGATACCCACCAGATTGTATATATTGTGTTACTGTTTTCATATATGTTGGATGTACTATTCTTTGTATCTATTTGTTTTGCAGTTGGTGAAATGTTTTATAAAGTCCCTGAATAGAAAGAACTTAATTTTTATATATTTCAATATTTATGCATTTATCTGAGTAATTATGCATTATAAACATGTACATATACCCAGTGCTCCTACTTGACTTAACAAAATTTTGTTAATATATTAAATTTTTAATTTTTCTGTCCTTCCTATTACTGTAGAGGTCAGCACCTCTCTTCTGTAATGACATTGGTAATTTGTTGGGTTCTCTAGTTAAAACCATTAAGAATGGGATCTTGATCTGTCCCTTAAACAAATGGTCTTCCCTGCTTTGGAGGGAGAGTATGAAACATTTCCTGTTAGCACAGAAAACCATCTCAGATAATTCTGCATCTCCTAAACGTAGCATTTATGCTGCAGAGACATGAATCACAGAACCTTCTTTATAATCTTGACATTCTAATTCCATAGCATGAGCATCAGAAGAAGAAAAGTACTCACATCTCTCACAATGCATTGGAATTTCTCCCTATTTTGTGTGTGGCTGAACTTCCTCATTGGTACACTGAATTTAAAGATCTCATGGCTGAAAGCTAGTGGATGAAGCCTAGCATTGCTGCACTGATGCTTATACTTAGTAGACAGGTACTATTTATTAGTTAACTTTCTCTGTCCATGGATCCCGTGAGTGTGTGTGTCTGTATATGAATACTAGTGTTGAACTGTGAGCCCTTCAAATAAGTAATATTTCAGAAAAGTAGTACTTCCTCTAAAAAGTTTTCATTTTCTTGTTTCTGCTGTGGGATTTCTTGAGAAAATGTTATTTGCACGTGTTCATTCTTGAAGTATAGCATAGCTAAGAGAGCTTGGTTAATTAATTGAAGTTAATGCTAAATGTGGATATTTTGAAGCTCATGAATGGTCTCTGAGGAGAACTTGAGGAAACACTGGTTTTCACAGACACTAGGAATGGCTGTCTTTTAGAAAGCTGCCGTTTTTATTTTCATGCATAGAAACCTCACAATGTGTCAGTCCTTGCTAAACCTTTTAGATGTGGTTCATGAATATACTAATAAGTATATGTTTGTATAAAAGAATGACTGTGCAGTGTGTAAATACTTTTAAATTATCCTGATAGAAGAATAAAGTTGCCTACCCCACTGAGGAACATCTGTAATGTGGTATTAGTGACCCCTGGGTGGGATGCAGAGAAATTGGGGGATGTGGGCTATGCACTGGGCAGGCAATCTATAACCCAAAGCCTCATATTTGGTTTTTAGCCATCACTTGCTGTGTAGGAAAGTGCTGAATACAATCATTCTGCTTCCTTGCAGATGCTTATTTTCCTCTTCTAAATTAGCTGTGTATTGAAATCTATGATCAGCAGTTGCAAACCAGGCCAGTTTATTGAAACCAACGGCAGGAAGCATCCCCTCAGAATCCCACTTGTACACTCTTCCTTTACAATATTTGCAGAGATATTTAGATGAGCTTAGACACAGTGGTCTGATGTTGTTGTGTCTGTCTTGAGAGATGTTATGAAAATCCTCTTTTAAATTTACTGGATAACTCTCAAACCAGAAGAAACTTGGGAGAGAAAATTGCTGTAAAACTGAAGAGGAAATTGAGGGATTGAAGGAATAAATGGTACAGAAGAGTCCATAAGATTACAGAACTTTGTATAACAAGATGATCTGCTCAGCATGCACGGGAGTTTTAATTTTTCAGCTGCAAGGCTCTAATCACTTAGCATGAAGGTAAATTGAAAGTGCCAAAGCTTAATACAAGTTATATCAGATGCTTATCTAGAAAGATAGACCTAATAAATACAACTTAGAATGTTGTTTTGCCTAGGCTTTTGTTACAGCAAGAATTTGGGATAGGGGGAAACAATCTTAAGTGGTAGATATGTCATTGAAATGCTCTATGGAAACATCTGGCTGTAGAAATCAAAGGGAGCTTTAAATATATGTTTAATGTATATAAAATAAGGCCTTTATTTCTGTAAGAGCTTACTTTCAAATGTGCTTACTACTGCAAGTTCTGTAGAAGGCAATATAGCATGGTCATTGGCATTTTAATGCAACAACTAGTAAGTTATTATCGAAGCTATCTGTTGTCAGCCTTTGTCTTAAAAATAGTTAGCCTTCTATGTTAATGGCTTATTCAAAAGATTATTTTAAATCTCTTCTGTAAGATTTCTAACCATTTCTCCTAACCCTGTGCTAATAGAACCTCTTTAACAGCAGATGAGGATGGTTCTCTGTTTTTGTAGCTGTGGAGACTGATGACTTCCCCAGGACACATAGGAAGCATGTTACAGAAACAAGCAGACAACATGGTGCTTAATCCTTCATCTTTCTTGTACGTACATATGGCTCCTAAACAAGGGTATTGTAAAAGGAAACGGTATGCTCAACTGACTGAAACCAAAAATTCTTTTTTCTCTCTCTCACACTCCACTTCCTGAAAAACATGTCTGGAAGAATAATCAGCATAGAGCACCTATGAAGTGAGGCAAAACTTGAAAGCAGGGTTTGAGAACAACCTACCAGTCTTTCATCTGATTAAATTAGGGTCCTTCCATATGTAAGCACATCAGTGCCTCTCATTTCAAGCAGCTGCTGTCTTGCCAGCAAATAATTCCCCAACTATTTACATTCTCTTACATTAACGTTATGGATACCTGTATTGGGTTTACATAACAAGGTTGATGTGAGAGCCTGATTTTTTAAAGCATTGAATGAACTATGTCACAGTTGTAAAGCATTAAACAAGCAGCAGCAATGAACCATATAACAGTTGTATTAGTTGTAGTATAAGTTGTGTCGGAACTTATCTCTGAGAACAGAATGCAAAGCTACCATGAGAAGTATGGGATGTCTCAAGGCTGCAAACTGCAAACTCTGTGGCTTTGTTAGCAGAATAAGGAGGTAAAGAGCTAAAGTTCACTAAAGGAACACTGTGATGAAGAGGAGTGGAAGAAGTAAATGACCACCAGATGTCTCTGAGGACCACCGAGAGACTATAGTGCGCGTGTGGGTAGTAACCTATGATAATGAGTTAATGAGTATGTTGATCATTTCTTGGAAAACTTGTGAATATGTATATATGGCATGTATATAAGCTGTATAACTAACCCTTTATCACACGCACATTAGCAGGAGTGATCCCCTGTGCACCCAGCGCTGCAATAAAGAATACCTGCTTGATAGTCACTCTGACTATTGAGTCCTGACTTCGGCTTTTCACAGCAACAGGTTTTGATAGCGGGGGGCTGCAGAGGTGGCTTCTGTGAGAAGAGATCAGGAGCTGCCCCCATGTCAGCCAGAGCCAGTTCCAGCCAGCTCCAAGACAGACCCGCTGCTGGCCAAGGCCGATTAAATCAGCGATAGTGGTAGTGCCTCCGTGATAACATATTGAAGAAAGGAGAAAAAACACTGCACAGCAGCAGTGGAGAGAGGAGTAAGAATACGTGAGAGCAACAGCTTTGCAGACCCCAAGGTCAGTGAAGAAGGAAGGGGAGGAGGTGCTCCAGGCACCAGAGCAGAGATTCCCCTGCAGCCCATGGAGGTCCACGGTGGAGCAGATATCCACCTGCCAGCCTGTGGAGGACCCCATGCCGGAGCAGGTGGATGTGCCTGAAGGAGGCTGTGACCCTGTGGAAAGTCCACGCTGGAGCAGGTTTTTCTGGCAGGAACTCTGGCCCCAGGGGACCCGTGCTGGAGCAGTCTGTTCTTGATGGCCTGTGCCCCATGGAAAGGACCCATGCTGGAGCAGTTCATGAAGGACTACAGCCCATGGGAGAGACCCTCACACTGGATGGGGTCTTATGGGCCCTTCCAACTCAAGATATTCTATGGGGCAGGGGAACAATGTTAGGAGGAAGGAGCAGCAGAGACAACCTGTTATGAACTGACTGCAACACCCATTCCCCACCCCCCACCATGCTGCTCATGAGGGGAGGAGTTAGAAGAATTCGGAATGAAGTTGAGCCTGGGAAGAAGGGAGGGTGGGGGGCAAGGTGCTTTCAGTTTGGTTTTTATTCCTTGCTATCCTATTCTATTATTAGAATAAATAATAATTAAATAAATCAATAATGGTAATAAATAATTAAATAAATAAATAATGGCAATAAATTAAATTAATTTCCCCAATTCGAGTCTGGTTTGCCTGTGATGATAATTGATGAGTGATCTCCCTGTCTTTATCTTGACCCATAAGCTTTTCCATCTTATTTTCTCCCCATCTTGCTGAGGAGGGGGGATGAGAAAGCGGCTTGGTGGGCATCTGGCAGACAGCCAAAGTCAACCCACCACAATATCAGGCATTTGTTTTATATTTTGTTGAGGACATGAGTGGCTATTTATTTATTTTACCCCTAAATTAGACAAGCAGTGTTGCAAGATTTGCACCACCTAATGAGTGTTTCATTAGGGGACATGTTTAGGAAAAAAACACAAGTGGCTTGTTTCTTTTCTCTTTTTTGTCAGACAGTGCAATTTCAAATCGTGTTCTCATTTTCTTCATATAAGTACAGCTGGGGTGTTTTACATTTACAGTTTTCATGATTTGGGATATTTTAATTCTCATCTGTGTCGAGTGATAAACAGTATTCCTTTCTGTCTTTCTCTATTCTAGGTATTAAAAAATGCTATCGATATAATGCCTAGACATGACTAGTAATGACTCAATTTGTTTTGAAATCTATTCAGTGCTGTTTACAAGATAAAGTGTCTCTGTATGGTGCTGCTATTTCCCTCTATTTATATTCAAAATAAATGAGAATTGTGTATATCAATGTTGTTCATTAGATTGTATTATTCTTAT